AGTGATCATTTCTCCCTTTTTCGGTGATCAAAAGACGTTTCTCCCATAAACTATCGTACGTTGAAAGAATAACGATGATTCATTATCTATCATTAACTGCAATTTTATCTGTAAAACATTTGTTGGAAGAAACTGACATATACATTTTATTTTTTAATTCTTTTCGTTTTAATTATCTCAAAATTAGAAGAAAACAAAATGCATAGTCAAATTCATATTTTTACCACACTTTTTGTAAACAAACTAAACCTCGTGAGAAAAATCGAAAAACGATTGGTGTGAACTTGATCTCGATGTATTTATTCATGCATACGACGAAAAAATACAAAGAAAGGTAAAAAGTCATCGATGACTGTATTAATGCTTTCTTCACATCGCATTAAAACGTGCAATCGTTTGAACATATACGGTGACCGATATTCTTTTTGAATAGTGTGGGATTAATTAAAAACAAGTAAGACAATTTTTGTACGTTATAGAACTAAATTCTATCTATTTTCAATAAAATATCTTGAAAAGCTTGTTTTTACATTTAATGATCTTGTTTACTACAATGGGACAAAATCAAACTACTGTATATAGAATAAATTTGTAAATCATACTGTGAATGATAAAAGGTCACTGAATAGAAGTTAATTTCTCTCCATAATTTTCCTTCATTCTACTCGATTATATATGTATCGTAATTTACATCAAAACGAATTGTTCATTCCTACATGAATATGAGTGATATATCAATGGATAAATACGTACAAAACTCCTTTCCATAAGTAATAAATGAGGCGATACAGATCATTTACTTTCTCAATAAGTTTATAATGCGCCGCTTTTTGCATAAATCATATATCGAAAATAATCATACCTCAAAATCAACATGTTAATTATGAATATAATTTAGTTTTTAGTCTATTGATTCACCACGTTTTCATATATATGTATAAAATAACATGCTTTGATATTAATTCTACCCACTTACTATTTTCAAAGTACCTATAATAAAAAAAATACATTAAAACGCATTCAACCGTGCTTAATTTATCCATATTTTCTTTCAATAGTACCCACCATGCACGAAATATTGGCAAGCGATAGTGAAGGATCAAGTATCACATCATCAAATTCATTGATATTCAAACAACTACAATTCAATTATCTCATTGGCTTTGCACTTGCAGCAGGTAATTATACTTTATTGTATTAATCATTATCATATTTTCTATCTCAATCGTATAGCTGGTAACAGTTTACAAAGTTCCTATCGATATGCTATTTTCGATACATATGGTCTTGGACGAACAACAATTGAACGAATTTTTCTTTGTGCTCATATTGCAACTTTAACTCTGGGTACACTTACTTCATCGCTTTCTGATAAATAGTAAGTTATATATTGTTTTAAAATATATTATCAACATACAAAAGAACAATTATATTATTATCTATATTTAGTGGGCGTCGAACAGCATGTATTTTATCCGCTATATTCTATACGATCAGTTGTCTTTCACTTGTGAGTAAATTTCATAAAACGTTCCAGTATTAATCTAATATTGTGATTTGTATCTTAAAAGAATATCAATGTAGTATGGATTTTTTACATCGGAAGTGCAGCTCGTGGTATAGCTCATTCATTATACAATACAAATTTTGAAGCATGGCTCGTTCAAGATCACCATAACGTATATTTTACTTATTCTAATATCCATCTTCTTATCACCGTATATATATTTATTCTAGAGTGGTTTAAGTACTGACTCACTTAAACAGATACTACGAAATTCATGTAAGTTATATTATTTTCAACATTACTTCAAGATTATATTTTTCGTTTTACTTATAAATATAGTTGTTGTACAATCAGTCATTGCTATAGCAGTAGGCTTTGTTTGTGAATACTCAGCCGATCTACTTGGATATGTGTAAGTCATCACATGTAATTATTCATACTTTATTTGATTAACTCTTTTACATCATTATTGACACAATTTCTTTTGACTAAATATGTTTATTATGATATAATATTTTAGTTTAATCTTCTAGAGCTCCATTTGATATTGCTGTTGTCATATATGTATGCATGACAATTTTTATATTAACACGATGGACAGAAAATTATGGTGATAAAGAAGCATCAAGTACAACTTCATTTATTCATGCTATTCAGATACTTCGAGATGGTTAGTAGATTTATTAATCTCTTTAGTTAAACTACATGAAAAAGATGTTGAATTGAATAGATTTTCGTATTGTATTGGTTGGATTAATTACAGCATTTTTCGAAGTCACAATCTATGTCTATGCAATTGAATGGACACCTGCATTAGAACGTGCACACATATGGGCTATCCGTGAACCATTACCATTAGGCATAATATATTCATCTTTTATGGTAACATTGGATTTTGTTTCATAATAGGGGGAGAAATATATTTATTTATGAAATAGTTTTTTAATATGCTTGGTACAATAGTTTTTAAACCATTAGCTAAACGATTTCGTGTACAATCATTTCTGCCGTAAGTTGAATACAATAATTATATTATATTGAACATATTTTTATATTATAGAGTAGTTATTATGGTAACTGTATTTTCATTCTGTATGTTAGTCATTGTTCCAAATGTAAGTATATCTATCATTTTCTATATATTTTTTTGAAGTCATCACAATTGATGAACTAGTAAGTTCATCGACTGATATTATTTCACCTTACGACATATATATATATATATCGAATGTAATCGATTTTAGGTTCAACCGATAGTTCTTGGTAGTTTTTGTCTATATGAATTTTGTGTGGGTATTTATTTGCCATCTATAAGTGTATTAAGAAGTCAATATTTGCCAGATTCGGGTAAAAATAATATATTTTATCTCTTATTTTTAATTTATTTTTCTATATAATTTCTAGTTCGAGCAACATTAATGAACTATTTTCGTGTACCTCGAGTTGCGTTAATGTTTATAGTTATGATTTGGGTAACTTGCATTAATATTTCATAAAGAATATAATATTTATAATCTTAATTTACAGCATCTTCCACTTGTAGTTATATTTACTTTCTGTGGTTTAATGTCAGTTTTGACATTTGTGTGTTTATTGATATTACGCAGGTATGTAAAAAAGAAAAAAGATTGATTTGTTTTGTTTTGATAAGATAATTTCGTTTTTTTATAGTATGAAACCACTAGAAGAATATGTCGAGCCAAGTGAGAAAGTTGTTTTATTACCTGAAACACCATCGTATGATCTTAAACTGAAACAACTTCAGCCAACATCAGAATATTCTGATGGAATCGATAATAAAAGTACATCACTAAATATAGACAATGAATAATATCTAATGTTATTACCGTTCATATTAATGAAACTACCGAAGATTTTTGATATCATTTATTTCAAATAAAATATTACATTTCATATATGAAGCTATGACGAAAAGAAATAAGCGAACATTTATTTATCTTTTATAAACAGTTTTTGTGTGGAAATAAGTATCGCTTAACGTTTGAAAATTAGTGAGAAACATCCTAGAATAATATACTGTTTCAGATGAGCTGTAAGTAAACTTTTTTTATCTAAAAAATACCCTTCCTTCCTTTGAATAAATCATAGGTCTTTAAATAGATAAATAGCTATTCAGCGAAACGATAATCATCCAATTAATCACTGATTTACCGCCGATTGTTGTCAATTATTTTTCTAAAAAATTGTGATTGTATAGCCTCTTTTCTTTGTATTGTATGAATAACTTACTATCATATACAAACCACGTTTTTAAGGTTTTCACAAATTTCTCTTCGTTTCAATGATCTTGAAATTTGAAAAAATCACAATTGTGTTTTTGCGACACTTTTGTAAACGAACCAAACGTTCTACTGAAAGTCGGAAAAAGAAGAAAACTCGCGAAGGACTACATAAATACTTTGCTTCGCATCGCATCAACAATTTTACTGTCAAAATATGAAGTAGACGTCTGTTTTTAAAATGTACTTATTCATAATTATACAATTGTGTAAAATTCATTAACTCAATTCTACATGTATAATCTATTTTATTAATAACTATATAAATACTATCGATTTTGTCTTCTTCATTAAACATACTCTATTCTATAGAGTAAAGAGTATTGAAAAAGATATAATCTTTGATAAATCGTTAAAATGGGCACTTGAACTACACAAATAAACTATCTCTTTTTTGTTTCAATTCAATGTATATATATTATATGATTTGAAGCTAATGTAATTTTTGATAGTGTAATAAATAATATAAGTCGACAATTAAGGGTGAATGTTAGTATCTTCTTCGTTCTCACTTACTCACAACAGATCAACATCTGCACTTCATTTAATTTTTCAATAAAAGAATGTATATAAAATCAATGCAGCTCTTAGCCAATAGATTCGAATACATTTTAAGGTTTTATAGACAGAGTATAAGATTAAAAGGTATCCGACAGTTACATATATTTCTGCATTAGTTGTTTAACCTATTAACAGAAACAAGAATTACGCATAATATGATCAAACAGTATTTATTTCGATAAATAAAAATATTTTAATTATTAGTAAAATTAACAGTATAAACACATACAATATATTACTATCGAAATTTTAAGAGAAGGCAGGCGAAAGAAAAGCTTATAACTTTTGAAGAAAAAGTCATAGCAACCTACAGTTTTCATCATTCAATAGAGAACAGTTAGGGAGAAATATCAATGTGTGAAACTAGTTTTCGAAAGCACTTTTTGTGGCTAGTTTTATTTAAAATAGTTTGTTTCTTTCCTAGTAGAAAGTATCTTCCTTGTATTCACTTTGTTAAAAACTCTCGATCGTTTCTAAGACGCAGAAGTTATCTAGATACCATTTTGAATAAGATACTTACAGCTATAAAACTAACGAAAAAAAAATCAAAAATAACTTTCTCCCTATTTTCAAAGAATGAGTATTTCATTTTAATTATGTTTTTATGAATTAATACGTAATTAGTTTTCATGTAAATGTTTGAGAATAACAAAATATATTAGTTTACATGAATAGTTGTATCAAGGATTTTTTTTGTAACGAAAAATATTCGATCATATAATAATAAACAGAAAGAAAAAAGGATCATATGTACCCGCGTGCACACAAAAATAGAGAAAGGACAAAGTTAGTAGTATAAAACGAGACCAAAGAGAGAAAAATATATTGATGATTGAAGAAGCGAAAGTATAAAGACAATATAATATCATTTTTCTCTTTATCAAACAAGAAAAACGTGAGAACTTTTTGAATGTTTTTTTTCTAATCTGAGAATATAACAGACAAGAAAACATAATTTAAAAAAGTCGAATATATTATTTTAGATGTCGACTGCAGTTTGTACACGTTTGAATGAAATTCATATTGAAACAATAATAAATGATCATGATACATTCTTATTTGATTGTGATGGTGTTCTTTGGTGTTCACCTACAGTTCTTCCAGGTGCTATTGAATTACTTAATTATTTAACAACATTAGTATGTAAAGAATTTATATTGATATTTTATCTTTTAATATAATTTTAAGGGTAAACGTGTACTTTTTGTAACGAATAATTCGTTAAAAACTCAAAAAGGATTTGCTCAATGGCTTAATGGAATTGGATACCAGGCTAAACCAGTATGTTTAGAATTTTATTTATAAATGAAAATATATATTTATATTTATATTTTAAAGGAACAAGTTATTTGTACAGCATGGATTACTGCTCAATATCTCAAATCAATTAATTTTAAAGGACATTGTTATTGTATTGGAATGCAATCAATGGTAGAAGAATTAGGACGTGAAGGTTTCCATATATCTGATGGTGTTGGTGTAAGTTTAAAAAGATTTTAACTTTGGTTTTTTTTCTATTGTTTTGTATTATTTATTAGCCTGATCCTATTTCACCTGAAACAGATTGGATTGAAACAAGTACAATTAAATTTGATGATCATGTACGTATGTTATATCGGACAAGAAGATAAATATAAAATACTATTAAATATTGTCTGATTTATAGATAAATTGTGTTATATCAGCATTTGATATACATGTTAATTATCTTAAAATAGTCAAAGCAGCTACTTATCTTAGTCGACCTGATGTTCTATTCTTAGCTACTAATGATGATGTTACTACTCCACAAAATGATATAGCTGTTTTACCTGGTATTTTACAAATTTTTTCAATAATAATTTGAAAAAAATATAATTGTCATTGTTGATTATAGGTGAAGGAACTATTTTAGCTTCAATTGTAGCAGCATCAGGTCGTTCTCCTACAATATTAGGTAAGCCTCGAGCTCCAATGTTTGATTCAATTCGTTTAGCTTTTCCTGAGGTCAAATCTAATCGAACTCTTATGGTCGGCGATAGGTAAAAGATTAAAATCATAAGATATAATAAATCTAATAAGATTTTTTTCTTCTAAAATATAGATTAGAAACAGATATATTATTTGGTAATCGTCAAGGATTAACAACATTACTTGTATTTAGTGGAGCAACAAGTGAAAAAAAACTTGATACTGTCAAACAAGCAGTTGATAAAAATACAGCTGAAAAAGAACTTTTACCGAAATTTTGTATAAAAGATGTTAATCATTTATTACAACTTTTATTATCTCGTCAAAAAATCTTATCAAAATAAAACTTTTTTTCGAAACAAAGAAAAAGAATAATAGATCGGAAGTGGCCTTAATAACCTTTATCGATAACACATTTCAATATTTGCGAGTATGGATGTCTATATGTCGTTCCTCACATCCACTCTTAAATAAATCTTTGAAAAAAACCTAATTTTAAAGTTTATTATATGAATTAATAATTATTGAATAATTTAATTTCGATTGATGAATAAGATGTAAATGATAACATTTTCCTATTGTTTTTTTACTCAATCAAATTCCTGATATAATCGTAATATAAATACAAGTATTAAAAAAAAATAAAGATCACAAAATGAAAATGCACACACACAATCAAA